CCCCACCCCGCCCCCTCGCTCCACCCCGCCTCGGCCGCCTCACCCCGCCTTGCGCCTCCCTCCTAGCGGACCAGGGGCTTGTCGCTTCCTCATGGCTTGGCTGCCCCCTGCCTGATGCTGCGCTGGGCAGGACAGGCTGGGCCGTGCTGCGGATGGAGGCAGACCCCGGTAGCCTGGAACAGCACGGGTGCTTCTTGCTCCTGTTGCTGCCTGTTGCCTGGGGCCCCACGCCGAGGCCTGGCTGAGGGCCTCGCCTTCCCCCGCGTGCCATGGGGCAGAGGAAGACACCATGGTGCAGGAAGGCGCATGCAGCTTTGCTGGGCAGAGACTCTTCGGGCTACTTCCGCCGCCACTTCCTTGGCCTGGGCCAGCCCGTGGCCATGCCTGAAGTCATGGCAGATGGGGATGGATGAGCCTCCAGAGGGGCTGAGTGGACAGCCCTAGGCCCCCCATGCCTGTCGCCTCAGGGCCTCTCAGGCAGGCACGGCTCCAGCATCCTCTCCTCCAGGAAGCCCTTCTGTCCACTCCAGCCAGGAACATGCAGTCAAGAACCAGGTGGTGGGGACAGGGTAAACGCACAGCCCAGGTCCCTGTCATAGGGAGCAGATGGCAGGGATAGGGAGAGCATGCAGCTCAGGTCCCCGCTGTACTGGGAGGTCACACAGCTGGGTGGGAATTCTGGGCACGGCCCCTCCCTTACTGACAGGGCTCCCCTCCCTGGATGGTGGAGGTGCCCAGGCACCACCCTTGTTGCTGGTTCATGGCCTTGGGGTAGGTCCTACCCTGCTGGGGAATCCTGGGGGCCGAAGGGAGCTCAGGGAGTCAGCCTGAGCTTGATGCTTTGGTAAGTGTGGAAGGCAAGCAGGACGACCTGCAGGGGTCAGGAAAGGGTGACTGTGACTCTGGAAGCAGCCCTGGGTGGGGATGTGCTTGGCCAGCTGCAGGGCCTCACTGCGGTCCACTGCACTGTCAGCTTCCGGCCCCCTGGGGCAGGCGAGGTGGGCGAGCCAGGGCCTCGGATGATCCCTACCCTGTCCCTTCTTCCCAGGAAGCGCCGAGGAGCCATCAACAGCAAGCAGCTTACCTACCTGGAGAAATACCGGCCTAAACAGAGGCTGCGGTTCAAAGACCCACACACACACAAGACCCGCTGCTGCGTCATGTAGCTCAGGACCTCGGCTGGGCCTGGCTTCTGGGCCTGGGGCCCATGGTGGCCCTGCCGTGCCCTGCCCAGCCTAGCCCAGCCCAGCAGGGGCTCCGTGCCTTGGCTGGCCCCACCTGCCTTTTCCTCCCTGATGCCCCCCATCCTCCCATCCCCCTGCACCCCCCCCCCCGTGTGTCCTCCTGGCCCTTTGTCCTGTCTCTGCCGTTTCCACTGGTGGCGCTGCCCATGGCTCTGTCTCTCCGAGGTGGGTTGGGTGCCCTCTTCCCCAGACACCCTGCCCCCCCTAACACCAGCCCAGGCTGGGCTCCTCCGGCCTTTTTGTTGCAGGGCGGGTGTGTATTTTGTAACCACTGGGCCCAGCTCCTCCTCTGCAGCCCCTTGCCCTGACCAGTTCTCGGCATCTTAAGTTATTAGATCCCGGGACAGTCAGGTGCTCTGGATGCTCGAAGGCAATAAAACAGGAGCCATGGCCATGTGTGTGGAGTGGGCTGTGGGGTTAGGTGGGGGCAGGCCCTGGCCTGGGGGCCCCCGGAGGCCGCTGTCTGGACGCTGGGCTGCTGCCCAGGATGGGGCTTCTGTGTGCTCCCATGCTGCCCTCTGGTGGCCATGCTGGGTCCCTGCACCCCGCCCCGGGGGTCAGCCTGCCCTGTTCTGCTAACCAAGGCCGGAGCCCGACTTTGGCCGGGGTGGCCGTGTTGACCTTTCTTGGGGCTGTGGCGTTAGAGGGTGAGGCCAGGTCATCAGCATTGTCCTCTGCAGGATGGATGGGGCTTCCCTTGGCAATTCTTCAGGGCCTGTGTCCGGTGAGTTGGCCTCCCTGTCCTGCCCTGCCCCGCCCCAGCCAGGTGTCCACATTTCAGGATCTGAGGCCCGGAGAAGGGCACAGGTGGTGGCTAGAGTGGAGGAGGGTGCTGCCCATCAGCCCAGGGAGCAGGGTGCCACCTGGGCACCTGAGGGTAGAGGAAGGCACCGTCCATCAGCCCAGGAAGGGGGGTGCCGCCTGGGCACCTGAGGGTGGAGGAAGGTACCGTCTATCAGCCCAGGGAGCGGGGTGCTACCTGGGCACCTGAGGGTGGAGGAAGGTACCGTCTATCAGCCCAGGGAGCAGGGTGCTGCCTGGGCACCTGAGGGTGGAGGAAGGCACCATCCATCAACCCAGGGAGCAGGGTGCCACCCATCAGCCCAGGGAGGGGGGTGCTACCTGGGCACCTGAGTGTGGAGGAAGGCACCGTCCATCAGCCCAGGGAGCAGGGTGCCGCCTGGGCACCTGAGGGTGGCGCCTGCCGGCGGGTGTGGACGTTTGCTCATGTGTCTCTGTTGGGGGCTGGCCCCACCCTAGGCCGAGGTACATGGAGGGCATGGCCCCAGGTGGGAGGAAGGTAGGCCTGGGGCTGGCCCAGGGTGTGGTGAGCCTGGGAGTGGTCTCTTCCCTGGGGCCTCAGGAGGTTCCAGCAAGGAGTGATGGGGGCAGGTGCTGCAGGAGGTCAGTGGACAAGACGGGGACAAGCCCCTTCTCAGGCGGCCCTGCCTCCCGACAGATGGCTAAGGGGGCACAGACCTGGCACCCCAGCTCCTGTGTGGAGAAAGGGCAACAGCTCTCCCAGATGGTTCCTCCCTCCTGTCCACAAACACATCTGGAACTCAAGTAAATCCGACACGTGTTGGGCGAAGTTTGCTGTATTTTTTCAATCCAGCAGCCAAGTTTTGGGGTCAGCGCTGCTGGCCCTGTGTAACCATGTCCCTGCTGTGAGAGGTTCACAGTCTAGCAGGGTTGGGGTGAAGACAGGCTGATAAGCCTCCCAGTACAGCGGGCGTGCTCCACTTTGGGGGGCGGCAAACGGACAGGGCATGGAGGTGGGCCCTTGGGGTGCTCTGCCTCGGGGGAGCTGGGCATGGAGGTGGGGTCTCAGGGTGCTCTACCTGGGGGGTGGAAGGGGAATGGAGGGCATGGAAGCGGGGCCTTGGGGGGCTCCACCTTGGTGGGGGCAGGGGGAATGGGAGTATGGAGGCAGGGCCTTGGGTGCTCTACCTCAGGGGGGCAGGGGCCTTGGAGGCAGGGCCTTGGGGTACTCTACCTCAGGGGGGCAGGAGGCTTGGAGGCAGGGCTGGGGGGGTGCAGTGCAGAGTACTAGGCAGGGAGGTGGGGGAGATGCTCCAGGTGGAAGGACCACCTGGCTGAGCGTGGAGTAGGGGTCAGTGCTGGCCAGGAGGGGAAGGGGGGTACAGGCCGGATCATCCCATTGGTGGGATGGTGGCTGGCCTGGCAGGGTCCCGAGGGAGGTGCAGCCTGGGATGAGACCCCAGGCAGAGCTCTGCAGGGAGGGGCTCTCCAGGGCTGTGTGGACCCCAGGCCAGGGGGGACCCAGGCCAAGCCTGTAGCTTGGGCAGGTCCCCAGGTGGCTCTCTGGGAGTCTAGGGTATCTGCCTCTGGACTCATCCCTCCAAGGCATCTTGGGAGGAAGGTGTTACTGCCCATTTTACAGATGGAACTGCCGAGGCTCAGAGAGCCAAGACTCCTGCCTCAGGCCACAGTGTGTCCCAGGTGGGCCAGGCCAGTTCTGCTGCTCACTATGAATGCACTGAGAAGGATGTGGGTGAGGGTGGAGAGAGACCCTGGGGGCCCGAGGCTGGGGGTCACGACTGAGGGGACCCCATCCCACTGTCAGCCCCAGCCACTGCGGCACTCCCAGCTGGAGACAAACTGAATACTGAGCGGCCACCCTGGGTGGAGGCTGCCCTCAAGCACCCACCCAGCCCTCAGGACCCGGGACTCTGAACTCTGGCAGGCTGTGGCTTGGGCTGAGGTCCCAATCAAGGTGACCCTGTCTCCAGGAATGGACAGGCGTCCACTTGCAGGGCGCTTCACAGACTTCACAGTTTGACCCCTGGCCTGACCCTGAGCTTGTCCCCAAGTCCCGCCAGTGTCTCCTGGGGCCTGTGTCTCCTGGTACTCTGTCTCCTGGGGCGAGTGGGCAGGGAGCTGACACGCATAATCCTTTGTTGAATCTAGATCTTTCTTTGAAGTGGGAAATCATTATGCAATCAAGCTCTGGGTGGGGGCCAGATGGGGAAGGGCTGGCCAGGTGGGCACAGGGGAGGGGAAGGCAGTGGGGGAAGACAGCTGGAGGTCACTGCTTGAGTCTGGCCGACACCTCCTGGGGGAAGGAGAGCTGCCTGGTGGCGAATTCCCGGACGCTCGGCTCTGGGTCACTTTAGAGATCTTCAAAAGCTCCAGGAGAGGAGGAGCAGGTCAGAGGTGACCCCAGTCCAGGAGCAGCCCCTTCACTCCAGCCTGGGTCGGTTGGGTGAGGCCAGCTCAGAGCCCACCTCCTGTGATTCCAGGCCTGGGTACTTCCCTCCACACTCACCTGCCACTGCCATTCCCCGGTCCCTTGTTTTATTGGTGCCATGAGGCAGCTGTGGAGCAGATGTGAGCCCAGGCCCCAGGTGCCCTGATGGGGGTGTAGGGGGGATCTCGGCCTCCAGATATGAAGGTGGGGTGGGGGCTGGGTGCTGCTCAGGAGGCCTGAGTCTTTGTCCTGATGCTGGGCTGGGGAGGGTCCCCTCTGGGGCCTTAGTCTTGCTGTCTGCAGTGGGTCTTAGTGTGCCTGGGTGGGGGTGTGGGGGTGTGGGCTATGGGAGCTCTGGAGGGAGGACCACTTACTGTGGAACAGCAGGTTGGTGTGGCATTCAGCATCTGGGACTCCCTGTCTCCTGGGGGGCTCCAGCCCACCCCTGCCTGCTCTTCAGCTCAAAGCCCCTCCTCATCCACCCCTTTCCTCTCTTGTGGGCGGGTGGGTCAGGGCGGGTCAAGGGTGCTTGGGTGGGGGCAGGCCTGGGTCCCTCCAAGCCAGGCTCTGCGCCCTCCCACCTATGAAGAGCGCCGCCCAGGTCTTGATGTAGCAGGAGTGGCCGTGCAGGTGGCTGCGCAGGTGGCGGAGGCCCTGTGACAGGTGGATGCGGAATTCCTCCTGGCTTCGCGTCATCTGGCAGGAGAGCACACCTGGGTGGGACAGGGGTTGGGGGGCCGTGGGGGTACCATGGACCTCCAGCCCCAGCCTGCCTTGCCCAGCCCCCGGGGCTGCCACAGCAGCTGTGTGTGAGGCAGGAGGGAACAGGGAGCCGCAAGCCTGGCCCTCCCAATCCCTGGCCCTGTTCCTCCTCACCGATCCCAGGCCCGTCACCAGGCAGGTCCAGAGGAAGTGGCAGGCGCTGAGGCCCCTCTCCCAGGCCAGCGTGCAGAAGAGGGTGTGCCATAGCCGCCAGAGGAGCAGTACAGCGCAGCGGTAGAGGGTGAACTTGGCTTGCTGTGGGGATGGGCGCAGAGGACACGCCTGCTGCCCTTGTCTGAGCCCCTTGCCCTGGAGACCACAGGCCTCGGTGGGCACTGGAGGCAGCCTGCTGTGCAGGTATCCTTGGCTCCGTTCTGCTTGTGCCCCTCGGCAAGCCTCCCACAACCTGGCAGTGCCACCTGGTGCCCCCTACCCTGAGAGCCCAGGCTGGCCTGCCCGTGGCTCTGGCTGTTCATCCCATGGCTGCTGCATGTCCTCCTTTTCCCCATGGCAGGGAGACCCACGAGGCCAAGCCGTGACTTTGTGGGCTGTGCACAGGGCTTGTGCTGGCACCCCAGGCGGGGGTGCAGTCCATATTCCAAAAAGCTCCTTGAGCTGCTGGACCCCCCACCCCGTGCCAGGCCCTGGGGACACAGCAGTGGGCAGAAAAGGCCGGGTCCTGCCACATCGACAGCAAGCCTCACTTGCATGTGTGTGCGCAGTGGGGGAGTGGGCAGGCCGACTGTGGTCAGAGGAACCAGTCAGGCAGCCAGACCCTCTGCCTGCCACTTACTGCCCCGTGGGACCCCTCCCCACTCTCAGGCAGCCCTGCTGCCATCCGTCTGCCCCATGCCATGGCCTTCTGTGGGCCCCAGCCCAGGCCAAGACAAAGGTCTACTACCTGCCTTGCCTGGGGGGAGCACTGACCGTGGCGACAGCTGGGCATCGATCCTTCAGGTGCAGGAGCATGGGTACCATGCTCTGGTGCACCTGGGTCCGCAGACCATTCAGATCCCTGCCTGCTGTCACCACCACCAGGTCCCTGAACAGTGCCATGGCTGCCGCCCGAATCCCATCCTGCTCCTGCAAAGCAGAGGCTCAGAGGCACGGCCAGGCCTGTCTAGGGGCCCCGGCTTTGGTCCAAGTGGGACCCCACACCTCGTTGTAGGGGTGCAACTCAGTTCCTTCCGCCAGATTCCTTCACCCAGGCTCTTGGCTCCTGGGGCTGGGCCTCTCCCTCACACAGGGCTGTATCTCCGAGGACATAAAAATCACATCTCCCTTCTACCCAGAAGTGCATCCTGGCAGCCAGCATCATGAATGCATTTGAGGGGTGCCTATCCCCCAATTTTCCAGTGAAGGAAAAACAGCCACACAAACCATGTGGGTGTGTCCGAGTTACATCCGGGCAGTCTGCTGTGGGGCTGGAGTCCAGTGAAGCTGGGGACTGGACGTGAGAGCTGGTTCAGCGCCATGGAGAAGGGGTACACGCCATGGGCCTACCTCCGCTGAGGGCTACTAGAGGGCAGCTCTCCTGGGCCTGGGCCTCCCTGCTGCGGCTCGGGTCCCCCTTTGGCAAAGAAAGGGAGCTGGGTTGGGAGGAGGGTCCTGCTTTGCCCCAGTGCTCACGTCGTCAAAGAAGGAGTGTGTGTTGATGGCGACACTGAGGCTCTGGAACCCCACGCCCTGCGCGCCCAGGCGGTGCAGCGTGTCTGACACGGTGTCCATGATACACATGACCACCTGCTCACTGCTCTGGAAGGAGCTGTTGAGGAAGGGCCGCAGCTGCCCCTGCAGCAGGCTTCCCTGGGGGCGGTCGGGGCTAGTGGGCGGAGGGCACCAGGACCTGCTGGCCCTGCAGCTCGCCTGGCCCTCCCACTTGCCCCCCTCACCCCATCTGCACTGGAGGGTGACTCAGAGTTGTGGATTCCGACCTGGCCCTGCCCACCATGGAGAGCTGCGCTCCCACCCGGGCTTTGCCCACTAAGAGCTGCATGGCCTGGACAGGGTGGCCTCTCTTCTTTTTTGAGACAGGGTCTCACTCTGTCACCCAGGCTTGAGTACAGTGGTGTGATCATAGCTCACGGCAGCCTTGACCTCCCAGGCTCAAGCGATCCTCCCACCATAGCCTCCTGAGTCGCTGGGACTAAAGATGTGTGCCACCACGCCTGGCTATTTTTTTTTTTTTGGTAGAGATGGGGTCTCATTGTGTTGCCCAGGCTGGTCTCAAACTCCTGGGCTTGAGCAATCCACCTGCCTTGGCCTCCCAAAATGCTGGGATTACAGCTGTAAGCCAACACATTCAACTTGTCTTTTTTTGTTGTTGTTTTTTTTTGCATGTTTGCAGTGAGTTCCTGAGTTATTGGGATGAATGGTCAGCAGTGTGTCCACCAATGGATGTTTCTTGACATTGGGACCCTCATCGATGCCTTGTGTACAAACCAGGGTGATTGGTACAACCTTTAAACAAGTTTAAAGCAACGTTGTTAGCTGTCTAAGCTGTTTGCTTTGAAAATATTTATGTTCAGCAAGTGAGTCATTCAACAGACACAGTTTCTGAGCATCTGTGTTTGCAGCCACTGTTTGAAGACCAGGGTTCTGGCTGGGTCAGAACAGGGCAAAAGAACGGAATTTTAATGGAAATGGCTAGAAAAGAAAATGGAGATGCATAGCATGGCTTATTGCTGCTCAGTTAGAGTGGAGTGGGGTGGCCAGCGCCAGCCACACCTGGTCCCGCCTACCCATCCCCACGCTGGCAGGCCTCCCTGGCTGGCAGTGCTCTCGGGGCCTGTCTCTCTTGACCTTCTGTGGCTGCTCACCTACACCCCACTTGATGCCAGGCAGGGAAGCATCCCTCCTCTCTGGACCTGGTCCTCCTGGTCTAGCAGGGCCCTTCTTTGCCTTTCTCTCTTCCCTGTATTCAGTGCATGGTTCAGAGGAGGCACATGGAAACTTCCTACTGATCATTTCTCTGTCTGGGAGAACATATGGTACGGAGACAACCAAACACTGAATGAATGAATGAATGGGGGAACAAACATGAGTAACTGATTGAATGAATAGATACATAAAGAATGAGCAAAATAAATAACGCAAGAATGAGTCGTAGATGAAGGACCCAAGGACCAAGTGGGTGGCTGGAGGGATGGATATGTGGGTGGATGGGGGGGATCAATGGACGGATGAATGGAGGAATGAATGAATGGGTAGATGGATGGAGGCATGCCTGGAGAGATGAATGGGTGGGTGGATGGTTGGATGGATGGAGGGATGAATGGGTGAGTGGATGGATAGGTAGGTGAATAGCTGGATGGGTGGCTGGATGGGTGGAGACATGGATGGAGAGATCAATGGATGGGTAGGTGAATAGCTGGATGAATGGGTGAGTGGATGGTTGGATGGATGGGTGGGTGTATGGGATCAATGGATAGATGGAAGGATGAATGGCTGGGTGGGTGGTGGAGGCATAGAAGGAGAGATGAATGGGTGAGTGAATGGACAGGTAGGTGAATAGTTGGAAGAATGGATGAAGAGATGAGTGGACTGGATGAAGGGGTGGGTGGGTGAATGGATGGATGCATGGAGAGAGCAATGGGTGGATGAATGGGTGGATGTGTGGGTGGGTGGGTGGATGGATGCATGGACGGAGAGATGAGTGGACTGGATGAATGGGTGGGTGGGTGGATGGATGCATGGATGGAGAGATGAGTGGACTGGATGAATGGGTGGGTGGGTGGATGGATGGATGGATGGAGAGATCAATGGGCTGGATGAATGGGTGGGTGGGTGGGTGGGTGGATGGATGCATGGATGAAGGATAGAGGGATGAACAGATTAATGAGGAGGTGCTATCTAGTCTCCTTCTTCCATTAAGCACCTACTATGCATCATGCGCAATGCAACAGGCTTTGCCAGCTGTGACCCTAATGGAGGTCTCTTCTGAACCATGCGGAGAGCTGTGAGTGGAACAGAGTTAGTGTGAACTAGTCTGCTGGGCAAATGACTTTGGGATCTGTTTGGAAACTGTCCCTTCTACTACCTTTCTATGATCACACTTTCTCCCACAAGCTCTGAAAATGTTTATGTTCATAACTGCCTCCTCCAACAGCAACAGAAATGGGGGCTGGGCATGTCCCTCCCCTCTGGGGTCTTATCACAGCCCCTGGGGTGGATGAGGGGAGGCTAAGCCTCCACAATTCCTGATCAGGTGAGAAAATCTCTGCCTCTAACTTGGCATTTTCATTGTGCAGTCAGCCAGGCAGGAGGGTTGCTGCCGCCAGTGCCTCTAGGGCTGACCTGCCTACCATAGGAGACAGGCACTATTACTGCTCCCATTTTACAGATGTGGTCGCTGAGGCCTGGGGAACTGACAAAGCCTGCCAGCTAGAAGGTGCTGGGGCGGGGATAGGTCCAGGGCCTGGACCCTTCGCCACTGGTGCCCTGGGCCCCCACAGCAAGGGCAATGTCAGTAAGTTGGGGGCTGTAGCTGGGTAAGACCAGATCTCCCCAAGGTGGCATCACAGGCCTTCCCTCCCACAGCTGTTCCTGATGATGGTGGTGAGGTAGAACGGTTTGGAACTGGAGGCGTCAGCAGGGGGTTGGGAGGACTCATTCATAAGGTTCTCAGAGGGCGTTCTCCTCACTGGCTGAGCCTTGGGATGCTACCTGGCCGGCTTCACAGTGGCCACCTGGAGGTCTGCGACAAGGTCCCCCTCTCTGTGGGTGTAAGGAGACAGTCCCCGGGGAATAGACACTTCACCCTTCCCACAGCCTGCCCTGTTCTACAGCTGAGGAAACAGGCCCAGAGAGGTGGAGTCAGGTGCGGCAGCCACACCACCTGAAGTGACAGAGCTGGGATTCCAACCCGATGGCCCTTGCCTACACACGGTGCACCGGCTGTTCTGTGGGGTCAGGGGTGTGCCAGCCATGGTGCCCAACTGCCCTTACCTTATCCGGGTGGAAGAGGATGTTCCCCAGGCCCTGCAGACTCGACATGCAGACCTCGGGGCTGGGGTCCTGGAGGCCGTGTGCCAGCACGGTCAAGGCAGCCTGTTTGGGAAGCACCTCCAGCAGGGCAGGGCGAGGAACACCCCAGCTGTAGAGGAACTGGGGTGGCCCCCGGGAGGGCAGGCAGGTCACTCTTTTGTGAGGTGCCTGCATCTGTGTTGAGGGATGGGGCTCTAGGTCCAGGGTACGGTTGGGAGTTTCAGGGAGGAAAGCTGACCAGTACCCTTTGGGTATCTCAGTTAACAAGTATTTGAAACTTACCTGGTTCAACCCCTTCACGTATAGCTGGGAAACTGAGCCCCAGAAAGGGAAAGGGCCTTGCCTGAAGTCACACAGCCAGGCGAGGCCCCACTTGTATCATGGGCCAGGCTTGTGGGGTACCTGGGGGTGGAGCTCCCATGGAGGGCGGCCCAGGCGGCTGGTGGGAGCTGGCATGAGGCTTTCGCTTGGGTTCCCCTACTGGTGATATTTATGGAAACTGCGCGCTCCTCACCCCAGCCTGAGCTTGCAGCTCCAAAGCACGCCACCCCCAGTGTCGTCTGCTTCTACCCATCCATTCCCCCTTTGGCTTCACCGTGAGTCGCACAGGCAGGACAGGGCTGGTTGGAGCCTGAGTCTGCACCCAGTGCCCCTTCAGCTCTGCAGGGATTGTTCTGGGGAGGGCTGAGTGGGAAGACAGGTCCCCAAAGGCTGCAGCCCCCTCCAAGGGCTGAGAGTGGAAAGGCAGGGGTGCAAGGGGGTCTGTCTGGGCAGCCGCCCTGGTCAGGGCGAGCTTTGGTGTGTGTTCTGCTGGGGTGTCAAGGAGGCTGGAGGAATTAGAGTGAACTAGGCTCAGGCATCTGAGGTGCTCCCTGCCCGCATGCACCCTACCTCGGTGAGGATGAGGATGGCCACCTTCCTCTTCTGCTCCTCTGGGCTCTGCAGCCTGGGCAGCAGCTGGCACAGCACCGCCTTGAGCTGCCTGCAGTGGTTCTGCACCATGGACCTGCCGGGGAGGGCCTGGGCTGGGGGTCACTGCCTGGAGCGCACCCTCCTGCCCCACTCCGTCTCATTGGGCCCAGCGTCTAGAAGAGTCCCGACGTGGTGGGCATGTTCCCACTCCCTTTGCATCCACTGGCTGTCCACTGCATGCCAGGCCTGGGCTGGACATGGGGGAGAAGGAGATGCAGGCACAACCCTTGTCCCCTAGACGGCCTCGGGCCAGGGTGAGGGCTGGGGGAATCAGCAGGCTCTGGGTGTGTGCCTGTGACGGGGGGCAGAGGGCTGTGTCCCATGTCCTGTGTCCCGTGTCCCTTCACTGCAGTCCAGATACCCAGCCCCCTGGATGGGCGTGGCCTGAAGCAGGCTGCCTCCACCTGTTCTGGCCCCACCGTACCTGGCGAGGAGGCCCACGCCCTTTGGGTAGGCGTGGATGGTGGTGTAGAGCTTCCAGGAACCCTGCAGCTCCAGGTGGGCAAAGACATGCCAGTGCCCCATGGTGGACAGTAGGCTCTTCAGTGCCTTCAGGGGTGTGCTGCAGCTGAGCAGAGGGGGTTCAGGACCTTGGCCACAAGTGGCCACCTGGGCCACCCCCTGCCCTGGGAAGGGTGCCCAGCTGACCCAGATAGAAAGCCACATTCTGGTTCCTGTGCCCGACGTCACTGAGGGCCCCAGGGCTGCCATCTCCTGCCCTGCTTTGCACAGAAATGCTGGGGCCTAGGATTGGCGGGGCTGGTACAGGCACGGGGAGGCAGCATGTGCCCACTCAGACCTGGGCCTTGCTTGAGCAGGAGACTGGGGGTGCCCTTCTAGGGAGGGGCAGGGTTCAGCTAGAGGATGGCAGCATTTAAATATAGGCGAAGAGTACGGAGGGTGGCAGCAGGTGAGGGCATGGGAGAGCTAGGAAGTGTGGCAAGGCGGAGCCCAGGGAAGTGTCCATCCTCCCCTCCCGAGACTCCGCTGCCCTCAGTGGACACGGAGAAGCAGGTGGCTCGGCCCTTGCTTGTGTGTGATGGAGAAAGATGCCGTGTGCGGCTTGTGGTGTTGCCGTGTGCTTGGTGGCTGCCAGGTGCCATGGGTGGCACCTCACCTGCCCAGCCTGAGGTGGAGCTCTACTGTCTCTCTCCTTCAGCAGAGGAGGGAGCGGTCCGGAGAGGTGACACATCCTGTCACACAGCCCGGCCAGGGGCACAGAGGTGGAGTCAAGTTGGGCCCTGGTGCCAAACCTGCCAGTGATATGACTGTCACAGGATGTCACTGTCACTGAACACAGTCCCTAGGGCACAGATAGGAAGCCCTAGCATGCAGGCCCATGACACATGAGATGGCCCTGGCTTGCTGGCCTATCTGTCTGTTCCAGCCACCTCCCCAGCTCAGTCAGTGTGAGGGCATCACCCTGGATGTGTGAGCACGCCCGGGTGGACGAGGCCATCAGCTTGAACCAGGCACGTTTCTGAGCAGATTTGCAAAACCAAGTGTCAAATGATGAAATGCCATCCGTGAAAGTTCTGATGCTGCCAATCCAAATGCCAGCTGGCTTGTCCTCTTGCCCCGAGCTGTGTCATAAAAAGAGGCAGCATTTTCCAGGTCACTGGTCTCAGCCACAAAGTGACAATTGTTTTCAGAAGAAGGGGACTTGGTGGGGGGAGTGGCATTTTGTTTGCTCTGGGAGGATTCCAGAAGCTTCTGGTCCTGTGGCTTCTTGGGTACTGGATGGTTTGTTCTTCGAAATTGCCTTGTCCCTGCAGCCACAGGAGGGCTTCTGGAAAGATGGGCTGATTTCAGCACTCTTGGGAATCCATGTCCAACTCCCCTGCAGGTCCGTAAAACTGCAAACCACCTCCAGCCCAGGACCCCCGGCCATGCTCATGGACAGGTGTCTCCTGAAAGCCATGTATAGCACCAAGGCCAATGAAGGCAGAGCCCCTTGAATCTATGCCTGGCCACAGACTCAGGGAAACATCTCCGTTCCTCTGGTCCCAGTGTCGTTGCCTGCCTTCAGCTTCTTTGGACACTTGGCATCCCAGTGACGCCTGCCCCGTACCTGACCAGCCCCCCTTTCCCCACTCTGCTCCCAGAGGGCAAAGGCACCTGAGAAAGAGGAGGCAAAGCCCCTCTGCTTTCCACACCCCTCCCCAGCCTGGGGGTCCATGAGACCCCTTTCCCTCTCCCACTCTTTCCTCTTCTGGTTTTATTTTTAATTGTGGTAAAATACACATCTCATAAAAGTTACCATTTTAAGTGTACAGGGCAGGGCATTGAGCACATTCAAATACTGGGCAACCATCACCCCCATCCATCCCCAGAATGTTCTCATCTGCTCACACGGAAAACTTGTCCCCATTAAACCCCCCACTCTCCCTTTGCCCAGTCCCTGGCACCCAGCATTCTACTTTCTGTCTCTATAGATTTGGCGACTCATGGACCTCCAGTAAGTGGACCCATACAGTATTTGACTGGCTTATTTCACTCAGCAGAATGTGCTCAAGGTTCGTCCATGTTGTAGCGTCAGAATTTCCTGCATTTTCAAGGCTGAACAGTATTCCATTGACTGGGTGGACCACCCTGCTTATCTGTTCACCCACTGATGAACACTTGCGTTGCTTCTATCTTTGGGCTACTGTGAATAGCACTGCTGTGAGCAGGGTGTGCAAATATCTGCCCCAGGTGCCTGCTTTCCTTTCTTTTGGGTGTAAACTCATTAGTGGAATTCCTGGGCCATATGGTAGTTCCACATGTGAGTTTTTAAGGAGCTTCCATACTGTGTTCCAAAGGAGCTGCACTGTTTTGCATTCCCACCAGCAGTGCACAAGGCTTCCAATGCCTCCACCTCCTCGCCAACATTCATTTTCTGATTTTTTTTTTTGGACGGTAGTCAACCTGATGAGTGTGAAGTTCCTCTTCTTTTGATCGCAAGGTTTTGCCCCCAAATCCCCGGCGAACAGATGGAAAGATGAAGATGAGATGAGGGTGAGGATGATGAATGTCTTCCAGATAAAGAGAAACGATGTAGCCCATTAGAATTAACTAGAGTTGGCCCACATGGATGGCATGTGAGAGCAATGAGAATTCCTTTGTGGGGCCGGGTGGATACTGGCTGGAGGTGGACACAGCTGAGAACTGACCGACTTAGGAAACGTCTCTAAGGAAAAGGCTTTGTGAGTGGAGGAGCAGGGGAGAGGAAGGCCCCTCCGGCCAGCTTGGCAGCCCCTGTTGAAGCCCTTCCCGGGGAAGGGTGACCTGCCCGACCCCACTTGCCGCTCGCTGGTCCTAGAGGCCCGTCCATCTCAGCAGGACATGGGACCTTCAGAGGCCCGGGACTAGCCCCACCAGGCCTCAGGATTGTGTCCTGTGCTGGGCACGCAGACAGTGGCTACTCAGCACTGCACATCCAGACGCCCTTCTGGGCCCCTGTCCCCACCTTGGCAGTGCCACAGCAGCCTGGCAGGGGCCTCAGATCCCTGGCCACCGGGATACCCCAGGGTGATCCCGTGCTCTCAGGCCTCCCAGTCTCCATGGTGGCGAGGAAGCTGCTTGGGCAACCGGAGCCTGCGCCCCTGCGTGGGCTGAGGCTCTCCAGGCAGGTTCCGCTCCTCGGGCCAGTCAGAGGCCGTGGGAGCCGGGCCTGGCCAATCAGAGCCGCACAGGCCCTTGTGGCCAGAGTGATTGGTTCAGGGGTGGGCGTGTGGCCCAAGCTAGGCCAATCAGAGCCAAGGACTGTGCCAGTGGTGAGAGTTTCTCCTCTTAGGGCTGCGGGGGCCACCTCCAGGGTTCCGGGAGATCCTGCCCGGGGAGCGGCCAGCCGGTAGGGCGGAGCAGCCTGAGCAGAAACCACCGTGGCTCCGCGTGAGGCACATATCCCTGCTGTATGGGGAGCCTCCAGTGAGACAGACAGACAGATATCCCTGCTGTATGCCTCAGCCAGTGAGTCGGACAGACATCGAGCTGCGTGTGTGTGGGGGGCCCAGTGAGACAGACAGACAGACAGACAGACATCCCTGCTCTATGCCTCGGCCAGTGAGTTGGACAGGCGTCCAGCTGTGTGTGTGGGGCCCAGTGAGACAGACAGACAGACAGACATCCCTGCTCTATGCCTCGGCCAGTGAGTCGGACAGACGTCCAGCTGTGTGTGTGGGGGGCCCAGTGAGACAGACAGACAGACAGACAGACAGACNGGGGCCCCAGTGAGACAGACATCCCTGCTCTATGCCTCAGCCAGTGAGTCGGGCAGACATCCAGCTGTGTGTGGGGGGCCCCAGTGAGACAGACAGACAGACACACAGACAGACAGACAGACAGACAGACAGACATCCTGCTGTATGCCTCAGCCAGTGAGTCAGACAGACGTCAGCTGTGTGGGGGGGCCCCAGTGAGACGTCCAGCTGTGTTTGGGGGGTCCCAGTGAGACACACGTCCAGCAGTGTGGGGGGACCCCAGTGAGACAGACATCCCTGCTGTGTGGGGGAACCTGTGAAAGACAGATGTCCCTGGCTCTTCAGGATCTTCCAGTCTATGGGTGTGGGCAGTAAAGCAGGTAAAAGGCGCACGCAGGTAACAGTAGCAGAGCACAGATGGTAGCTGATGGCGGGGCTGCGGGGAGAAGAAAGCAGCAGGGGGTGGGAGGCGCCACGGGGCTGCTATTTTAGAGGGTGGTGGAGGAGGCCTCAGCGGGGTGCGGGTGAGCAGAGCCTGCAGAGGCAGGGTGGCTGGGGGAAGAACATTCCAGCAAGGGGAGGAGCAGACGGGTGAGGCTTTCTCCCAACCCCGCCACGTTCCGGGAGGAGAACGTTTTGTTAGCTTATTAGGGGAGATTCATGCATTTTGCATGGTTGAACTGAATAAAAAGGAACTTCACGCACATTCAAATTCAGAGGCAAGATGAGAAGAAGTGGCATTTTAAAAATGACTTGCCTTTGGGAGAGCCGTTAAAACGGACAAACTGCGTGACACACATCATAATACAAACAAATGAAAAGAGTCAGCCCCAGCGGTTTTTAAAGACTTGCTTATTGGAGTTTTGGAAATACGACCTGGGGCAGAGTGAGGATGAAAGCAGCCAGCTCTACTGAGCCCAGAATAGGGCGGAGGGGTGGGGGGGTGGGTGACGGGAGAGGGTGAAGGCCAGTGAGATGCCTAAGAGGGCCTGGCAAGGCATTGCCCCCATGCGTGAGCCCAGGTCCCCTCTGCATCGACATGCTGTGTGGCTCAGGGGAAGCCTCTGACCCTCTCTGAGCCTCAGTCGCCTCATCTGTAAAGCAGGGAAGATGACATTCATCTCGAGCCCTCGCAGGAAGCCCACTGGGGTAAGATGTGGCTCACTGCATGGGTGCTCTTGGTAATGCTGTCCCCGTGGAGTCCTGTATGGCAGTGACACTGAGTGTCTCTACTGCCAGGCACCCTCAGGTGATGGGTAAGCAGGACCCACACCTGCCTGTGGGTGCTGTCCACAGCCCCTGTGGTCCCAGCTGTGGATGGCGCTCGGGCTCATGACTGTTGTGGGTTGAATTGTGTACCCCTAAAAAAGAGATATGAAGTCAACCATCGGTACCTGTGAATGCGACCTTATTTGGAAATAGGTATTTGCAGCTATCATTAAGTTGAGGTCGCTAGGGTGGGGCCCTAACCCAATGACTGGCATCCTTCTAAGAAGGGGAAATTTATTCAGATGCTGAACTTAACTGTTCAACTGCTGAACCACTCAACAGACATGAACTAAAACTTACTTGACAGCTGGAAAAAAAAATAAGGGGAAATTTAGACCCTGGCACAGAAAGGAAGACGTCAGGTGACCACAGGGGAAGAGATGAGTGTGGTGCAGCCTCAGGCCCGGGAGCACCCCGTGTGGCCACGAGACTCTGGGGACCAGATGCAGTGAGGAAGGACCTGCGGGTTTCAGGGGAGCACGCCCTGGCGACACCTTGGGTTTAGACTTCTGGCCTCCAGCACTGGGAGATGAACCATTCCTGTTGCTTTGAGCCCCTGGGGCACGCATGCTGGTTACTGTGCCACAGGAGGCTGACACTGTCTGTGTCCTGGATGCCTGCAGAACCCTGCGTGCTGAGAGCAGCTCGGCCACAGAGACCCCCCCCGCCAGGCGGCGCTGAAGGCATGGAGAAGCAGACACCCAGGCAGAACAGCAAAGTGGGACTATCTGGGGCCAGCAGCCTTCCGAGCCGAGAGCCTCAGGGGCTGACAGCATTCCCAGCTGAGGGCCTCGAGCAGACGCTGACCCAGGCATTTGTTCTCTCTGAACAGGTGATAATTATTAACAAACAGGTGTTCTGTGTGTTCTCACAGAACCAAGATAAACTAGGGAGGCAGCCGGTGCTTGCTTACCACTGATCACAGACAAACCAGGAAGCATTCTCCACGAGGGAGCCCCGGGGGTAGGTCACATATCCCCGCTGAAAGAATTGTTTTCACTGTGTGCGGCAGCCACGGACTGTTTTGCTGCCTTAGAATGCCCCAAGCAGTTTTCCACTTGTGGCGGTGGTGGTGGCAATGGCAGTGGCCAGAGGGGCTGGGGGGTGGGGGAGTGGGTGGCTAGATTTTCCTTGCCAGTGTTCTTCTTAGCAAACAATATACAGCTAGTGCTCGACTTACAACCACGATTGGGACCGGCAGACCGGTGGTAACACGATTTGGTCGTAAGTTGAGTGGGCTATATGTACAGTTGAAATGGTGCACGCGGAGATGGTAGTGCTGCTGGAAGCTGGTCTCCACTGTCGTATGCCCAGCTGGGCAACGTTTGCGCTGCCAGACACGGAGCAGTCGTGGCTAGCGATTGTGGTCGTAAAGTCGAACGGTCGTAAGTTGCATAGGTCGTAAGTCGATCAATACCTGGTAATTCTATCATACACTCAGCATTTCTCAGCACCTGTATGTGGCCAGGCCAGGTGGCCTGGGAGGCTTAGTCTTACCTTTGGGGGCTGGGCACATCCGCCTCTTGGGCCTGCTACGTGGGCTGAGGCTCCCCGGGCAGGTTCAGCTCCCAGACGTAGTGCGTCTGGGTGAGGAGGGCCAGGAGGCTCTCGGGTTAGGCCTTCTGCATGGCCTGGTTGAACTCCCGGGCGGATTGCGGCTCATGCAGCGTGTTCATGCCTGTCAGGGGCAGGTGTGGAGTGAGACTCCCAGGCCCTGGATCTCGGGACCAGGGGTTTTGACCCACAAAAGCCATATCTGAGCATGCTCGTCCCTCCCTGCTCCAAGCGCTTCGGGACCAAGTCCAAGTGTCCAGATGCTGTCCCTCCCTGTGGGGCCTGACCCTATGCCTCTGCAACCTCAGCCTGGCCCTCTCCTGCACCCTCTGCAGCCACTGCTCAGGTCTCACTGCTGCTGGATGGCCTGGTAGTCCCCAGCTGTCTGCCTGGATGCTGTCCACCCCGCACCCCTGCAGACCTCCACCTTGACACAGGGGCTTCCCGACTGCACACTGGATGCCGCCATCGGCCCTCTGCATTTTGCTCCTGTGTGAGGGTGACCTGCTGGAATCTGGGCCCTCCGCTCTGTTGCCTTGAAGGCAAGGTCCTATGCTGTGTGGTCCCACAGTACCCTCAGCTCTGCGTCTGGCACACAGCAGGGCTTGATGCCTGGGAGTTGGGGAACCCATGGTCCTGGCAGGCAGAGTTAGCTGGCAGCAGCCTTAGCTCCCAGCCCCCAAGGCCTACTGTGCCTTCAGGGTACTCAGTCCAGAACGTTCTCAGGGTGGGGGCCAGCACTGAGCAGTAATGACCGGGGGAGGGCAGGAATTGGCGGCACGGTGGGGTGCAGGGAAGGGTGCCCACTACATCTGGGTGGGTCTCACTGGGCTGCTGTGTGGTTCTCCGGCAGGGGCAGTATCAGGGCTGGGGAGTGTTGGGGATGGCCAGCTGACAGAGCCTGGGACCCAGGGGGTGCTCTCCCATCAGCCACCACTGTGAAACCACAGTCCTGCTGCAGGCAGCAGCTTGTCTGCAGGGCTCCGGGTGGCAGGGGGCTGCTGTGAGCTCCGGGCCACTGCTAGGGGGCACTTGAGGCAGGGACACAGCATGGAGAGGTCTCACAGGAACAGCTGTGGCCTCATCAGGCTCCAGGCAAGGTGCACAGGTGTGGCCATGCCCGGAGGGGAGCTCCTGGCTCCTGGGAGTGTGAGGCAGTGCTGGACTTAGGAGGAAAGCTGGGACTTCCTGCGGAGGGGGGCAGACGATGGCAGCTGCAGAGGGCAGCCTCTAAGATTCTTCCGAAATCTATGACTCCCCAGAACCCAAGCATGGGGAGGGCCATCAGTTCTCTCCACACCCTCCCCCTCTGCCTGAAGCCCCTCTCCAAGGCTCCCCTTGACAGCCCGGGGCACTGACGCGACTGTCCTGATTCACAGACAGGAGCCCACAGCCCTTGGCCAGGAGGTGGGAGCTGGGCTTGTGCGGTCAGCCCTGGGCGCATTTCCTCCAGACTGGGGCTGGAATGGGTGCAGCAGCCTGGATATGGGGTGCCCCCCACAGCCTGGCACACAGCTAGTGCCCGAGGTGTGGCCAGCATCTGACAGGGCGGTGGCAGAGACTCACGGCCAGCGAACTCAGGGAGGTTCTCTCCTTGGGGTGGGGGCTGCTGTTGCTGGCACCAGTGGGCAGGGGTTGCTCCTGCAGCCAGCCCAGCAGTGTGGCCAGCACCAGGTGGCTCATGGGCAGCTTGGCTCCCAGGGCCCTCCATAGCAGGAAGTTGTGGCTGTGGGCAGAGAGGGCACATGAGGGCAGTGCTGCCACCTGGGCCTGGCCGGGCTCAGTCACACCAGCAGGCCACCGTTGCCAGGGCCTGCATGCCTGGAACAGCAAACCTAGGCTGGGTCCTGAGCTGGACCCTAGTGGGGTGGGCCCAGTGCAGATAAGAGCATTGCAGGTCAGCGAGGGAGGGGCCCGAGGCAGGGGCGGGACACGCGTCCCTGGTCCTTGCTTGTGGTCTCATATCCACACTGGCCTCTTCCTGGGTCTCCCCACTTTCAGGGTCTCCCCGCCAGCTCCTCACCCATGCTGGAGGTTTCCTAATGTATCCCCATCTCCCAACTGCTTGTCACCTTCCTTGGCTCCCAGGTCCTGCAGACCAGAGCCCCAGCCAGCACTCAAAGCCATGGCCTCCAAGCCCTCTGGTCTCTGACCTCCAGCCCCTGCCTGCCCTTCCCTTTCTCTCCTTCCTGTCCTCTGGGGCTCCCACCTGTTCAGTCCTGGTGTTTAGAGCACTCCTCATCTCAGGCTAACTCCCCTCAGCCCTTAGGGCTCACCACAAGGTCACTTCCCTCTGGAAGCCTTCCGTGACTATGCCCTCCTAGTTCTGGGTTTTCGGGGTCCCAGCTCCTCAGGCCCAACCTGCTTCAGGTTACAGGTCGTCATGAGCACAGTGCTTCACAGTTTGTACAGTGCCCGTTCTGCAGACTGGAGAGAGGAGGCCTGCCCTGACAAGGCCCTGCCTCGTAGCTGGGAAGCCAGGCCTGTCCAGCTGGTGGCCCTTCCATGAATCCATGGGGCATGGCCCGGTGAGGCCTGGAGGGAAGGAAGGGACAGCTGGGTTGCCCCGAAAGGCTGGTGACCTCGATGACCCTGTTTACTGCCCTAAATGATCTTTGGGTCTGAGTGTTGAGTGGAAGGGGCTTGAAGGGGAGGGGAGCCCCTGGCATGAGGAGCTGGGGCTGGGAGGACCACAGGAGGGTGGCCCTGGGTGCCCCACCCCTGCTTTAAGACACTCAAGGGCAGCTGCCCTTGAAACCTGGGGAAGCCACTCCAGGCCCATCTGGCCCTTGGCTGGGTGGGCACAGCAGCTTGGAGGACTCCAGGAGTTCCTACCCAGCTGGAAAGAGCCGGGCCTTTGGAGCCAGAAGCGTCTAGGCTCAGACCCCCACTCTGCCCTGTGTGACCCTGGGGGAGTCACTTAGCCCTTCTGAGCCTTGGATTCCTTACTGCAGAGTAGTGGGCAGTGCCAGCCTTACGAGGCTTAAACTTTCCTACCCAGCTGGAAAGAGCCGGGCCTTTGGAGCCAGAAGCGTCTAGGCTCAGACCCCCACTCTGCCCATGCTGGCTGTGTGACCCTGGGGGAGTCACTTAGCCCTTCTGAGCCTTGGATTCCTTACTGCAGAGTAGTGGGCAGTGCCAGCCTTACGAGGCTTAAACAGGAGGATTCTCCCCTGAGTCAGCGTTTGTGCCCAGAGGGCAGCTGTTTCTATTCTCTCCCTGCAGGCCTGTCCCCCAGTCAGCAGGTGTGAGCCCAGTGCCATCACGTGCAGAGAGTGTCCCAGGGGACCAAGCAGTGGTGGAATCGGCAGGAATCTCAACCTCCTGTGCGTGACAGCCTTGTGGGGACACAGCAGGAATCGTGGAGTGCCGGATGCTCAGTGCTGCTCCAGAGAAGAAAGCAGCATGGGGGCAGGGGGCGAGTCTGGGTGCCTTCAGTTTCAGACAGGGCAATCAGGGACACATCCCCTGAGAAGGGGACTCAAGCAAAGCTCTGAGGATACTGGGAGGGAGTCAGGCAGCAATGTGGTGGGAGGGGACAGAAGCTTCCAGACAGACAGCCAGGAGACAGAAAGAAAGGCCAATGTTGCTGGGGTGGAGTGGGAAGGGGAGGGGAGAGGAGAGGAAGGCAGTGAGGTCATCGGGGCCACGGCACGAACTTGATGGCTGCTGTGAAGGCTTTGCCATTGGTTTGAGTGAGATGGGACCACTGGAGGATTTTACAGAGACGTGGCATGACCTGTGGGTGTTCTTCGAGGATGGGGGGATGACTGGAAGTGGGCAGGCCACTGGAGGTGAGAGCCGGTGGTGTCCTGGACCAGGGTGATGGCAGCGGGGCAGGACACAGGCAGAGGTGGAGCTGGCAGGGTTTTCTAGGGGGCGGGACGTGGGTGTAGAGAAGAGTCCGGACAGCACCAGGAATTCCAGCCTGAGCCACTGGGAGAATGGAGTCACCAGTTGGGACTTGGGGAAGCCTACAGGAGGGGCGGGTTAGGGGAGGCCAGGGGTGGGGCCTGGCTGGGTCAGTGGGAGACACCTGTGTGACACCCAAGCACTGCTGTCAGGGGGTCGGGGAGGGGCCTGGGCCAGAGGGGTCAGTGTTTAGGGGATATATGAAGCCATGGGATGGATGTGGCTGCCGTGGAGGTGAGTATAGCTAAGGAGGAGGATCAAGGGTCAGCCCTGTGGCCAGGGCTATGAAATCAGGGAGATGAGCCGGTAGAGGAGGCTGAGTGGGAGTGGCCGGGGAGGGAGGAGAAGAGCTGGGGAGAGCATTGTTCCCAGGAGGAGAGAGTCACTGGCTGAGTCAAATTCTGCTGACGGGCCACATAAGGTAGGGACAGAGAATGGACCACTGGACTTAGTGACATGAGGTTACTGCTGACCTTGACGACAACAGTTCTATTGGAGCAGCAGTGGACAAAGTCTGGCTCATGTGGATTTAAGAAGGAATGGGAGCTACAACTCACAGCCCAGAGACAACCCGATTCAAAAGCGGAGAAGGGGCTTGAATAGACACTTCTCCAAAAACAATATACAAATGGCCAATAAGCACATGAAGAGATGCTCCATGTCATTCATCCTAAAACCACAATATGTCACTTCACACCTACCAGGGTGGCTACAGCCCCACGATGAAAAACACCAAGTGTTGGCGACTACGTGGAGACACAGAAACCCTGGAACCTTGCTGGTGAAAGCAGAAAGTGGTGTCGTTGCTATGGAAAACGGGATGGCCATTGCTCAAAAAGCTAAACAGTACTGCCACGTGGCCCGGAAACTTCACTGCTAGGGGCACACCCAAAGGAACTGAGAGAAGGGACTCGAACATGCTTGTATGCCAGTGTTGACAGTGCCATTATTCATGGCGGCCCAAAGGCGGAGGAAACCCAAGTGTCCATGTCGTCTCCCCGTGCAGTGGATTACTAGTCAGCAATGAAAAGGAATGAAGTGCCAACACATGCCACATACAGCATGGACAGACCTTGAAAACATTAGGCAGAGGGAAACAGTCTAGACCTGAAAGGACAAATACACCATTCCACTTACATGAAATGTCTAGAATAGCCACACATAAGGCAGAAAATAGATTAGAGGTTACCAGGGGCTTTGGGGAGGGGGAGATGGGGAATTATTATTTAATAGTTACAGAGTTTATTTTTGGAGTGATAAAATTGTTTTAGAAATAGACAGTGATAAGAAGCAAAGAAGGATATTACATAATGATAAAAGGATCAATATAACAAGAAGAGCTAAAGATCCTAAATATATACGCACCCAATACAGGAACACCCAGATATATAAGACTTATAAAGAGACTTAGACTCCCACACAATAATAGTGGGAGACTTCAGCATCAGCATTAGACAGATCAATGAGACAGAAAATTAACAACGATATCCAGGATTTGAACTCTGATCTGGAACAAGTAGACTTAATTAACATTTATAGAACTCTCCACTTTAAATACACAAAATATACAGTCTTATCAGTACCACGTCACACGTATTTACAGGTTTAAATGAAACATTGGTTGGCTGCTTGTTTGTTATTTTCTTTCCTCATTTTTTCATGTCTCTATTATTAAGCACAATTATAGGCATACCCATTTTTAGACTGCATTCTAGCCTGGGCAATAAAGCAACACCCCCGTTCTCTCTCCCTCTTGCTCTTCCTCTTCCTTTTTCTTCCTCTCCTTCATTTTTTTTTCTATTCTTTTTTTTCTTTCTCTTAAAAAAAAAAAAAAAGTAACTAATGGCCAGGCATGGCCCAGCACTCTGGAATGCCAAGGTGGGTGGATTGCTAGAGTTCGGGAGTTAGAGACCAGCCTGGGCAACAGGGCGAAGCCCCATCTCTACAAAAAATACAAAAATTAGTTGGCCATGGTGGCATGTGCCTGTAGTCCCAGCTACTGAGGAGGCTGAGGTGGAAGGATCACCTGAGCCCTGGGAGGTCAAGGCTGCAGTGAGCCGAGATCACGTTCCTGCACTCCAGCACAGGCAACAGAGTGAGAAAAAAAAATAGAATTAGACAGTGGTGATAGCTGTGCAACAATTGTAAATACAATTAATGCCTGAATCATACACTTAAAAGTGAATAAAATGGCATAGTTTATATAATACATATTTAATACAATTAAAAAATGACATGCCAAACCCATTGAATCGTACACTTTAAATGGTCTAATTGTATAGTATGTGAGTTATATCTCGATAGATCTATTTTTTAAAAAAACGAATGAGAAGACTTCCTCTTCCAGCAGTGGGGCACTGAGTTACTTGAATCAACTCCATTGAAAACAACTCCAAAGGATGGAGAAAAATATAAATAATTAGTCAGGGTGTGGTGGGCTAACACCTGTAATCCCAGCACTTTGGAAGGATGAGGTGGGCAGATCACTTGAGGTCAGGAGTTTAAGACCAGCCTGGCCAATGTGGTGAAACCCCATGTCTACCAAAAATACAAAAATCAGGTGTGTGGCATATGCCTATAAATCCAGCTACTTGGGAAGCTGAGGCATGAGAATTGCTTCAATCTGGGAGGCAGAGATTGCAGTGAGTCAAGATTGTGCCACAGCACTCTAGCCTGGGTGATGAAGGGAGACCCCATTTCAAAAAAAAAAAAAAAAAAAAAAAAAAAAGAAGAGACAAAAGGGAAAAAAAAAAAAAAAAAAAAAAAAAAAAAAAAAAAAAAAAAAAAAAAAAAAAAAAGAAATAAAATATAAAC